ATTCAATATTAAGGTTCCTAACTAAATTATTATAATCTTCAGTTTATTGGCTATGACTTCTAACTGAGCAACCCTCGGTTTTTATTGTTTTGAATTGTGTCTCTTGAAGTCAACATTGCATTACACATGATTATTTGAAAAGTATCCAATTGTCAAGATCCAGGAGATAGTACATTTTTCCTAACAGCACAGCTTGGGAAAATATAAATGGTGCCACATGAAATTTAGTTGGAAAAAATACTTAAGAGTAAACTAGATAATTTATTACAGTATAAACAGAATCTAGAAAATCAGAGTTAAACATGTACGAATATATAAAACAATCTACAATGACTTATTTTATGGCATTTATATCATACAATGGCAGGATGATGTGCGAAAATTAAGCAATATTTTGAGTTTCCCTAAGAATGCCAAATAACTGGTCTGAGTTTTCTCTAAATAAAGTGATTATTAAGCCAAGTTTACCATATATTTTTGACTACATAAACACAACTTAAATCTTATCAATAAACAAGGCAAAAATGAAGTTATTTTCTATACTGGGATTTATGGCATTATACCTTAAAAATCTGAAAAAAACATGTTGACTCAAAAACCATATAGACTTCCTGTGAACTTCTGTAAAAAGTTATAATTTATTCAAAAAGATATTTAGAAACCTAAGGTAATAAAAGGAAAGTTTAAAAATGTTCACCTTCAATTTATTTCATAGGTCACTGTTATACCATCTAATAAGATAATTAAAAACATGCAAGCAGCTGGTACTACAGCTAAACAGATTAATGTAATAGTCTGTAGTCATGTGTGCTGGCAAGGGGCTTGCCTCTTTTGGCGAGGATAAGGTCAGCTGCCCTTGGGAAGAGGAAGGGAGGGGTAGCCCTGTGATACAGTCACCAAGTTAATCATCTACAGCAAACTGATAATCAGGAAACCACTTCTCTTCTTTCATCCCCATCGAAGTTGTCTCAGTTTTAATGGGTAAATAAGAAACAGAAAAAGCTCATATAATTTGGCAGAAAACATTAACATCGGTCTTTAAAAAGTATAAGACATAGTCCATAAAACTAATAATGTCTTCTCAATTCTTATAAATTTCACATTTTATCATGTCATCTGCAAATTAGTTGAGAGATGTACAATCAAAAATTTTAACCAAAATTTCCAAAACAAGATCTCGTCTACTACTCGAGTATCATATAATAATCATACTGGTGTCTTAGGAGTTAAATGCAGCTGTACTCTATCTGAATCAATGAAACAAAACCACAAGAAGATAAATACAAAGTAAAACCTCCTAGGCTATAAGAAATAGGTTTATGAGCATTAGGCACATAAAGCTTCAGTTAGGGTCCATTGATTTTAAATTTCAAAACATATCTGTCAAAGTTCAAGATATCTATCTCTGAACTTACACTAATAGTAAAACATCTTGGCCCAGCACGGTGGCTCACACCTATAATTCTAGCACTCTGGGAGACTGAGGCCGGAGGATTACTTGAGGTCAGGAGTTTGAGACCAGCCTGAACAAGAGCAAGACCCCATCTCTACTAAAAAATAGTGAAAAAAAAATAGCCAGGCATGGTGGTGCGAGCCTGTAGTCCCAGCTACTCGGGAGGCTGATACAGGAGGATTGCATGAGCCTAGGAGTTTGAGGTTGCTGTGACCTGGACTGACACCACAGCACTCTAGCCTGGGCAATAGAGGGAGACTCTATCTCAAAAAAAAAAAAAAAAAGTAAAGTAAAACATCTTCCCTTCATTTTTACCAGCTGTTTAACTTGGAATACTACATCAGAAATTGAGAGTTTCAAGGCCCAGATTAAATTTGATCTTAGCTCCCTTTCTGCTAATAGACAAAAAAAGTTGTTTTCCTGTAAGATATATATTTTTTTCTCTTCCTTTTGGTGTCTCTATTAGAGCACTGTAAAAACCTATACAATACCAAAAGGTTAACAATGATGATAATGACATTGACTGGAACATAAAAGCAACTTTTATTCAGCATTTACCATGTGACATTAACCCATTAAACTTATTTTTCAAAGTTTATCAACTGTACTTTATTATCAACTGTAATTTATTATCTCCACGTCAAAGGTAGGAATCTAAACCTAAGACTTGTCCTAAGTATTCAGTGTAGTTGGAATCACGATTTGAACCAACATACTATGATTAGATATTATTTTGAAAAACAAACAAAAACCCAAAGACTATGCCCTCTTGAACCTGACAATCTAATACCATAATAAGACAAATAATGAAAAGAATATAGATTTGGGTGACCAATTCAAGACTGAATTCAAAAGTTAATAAAATCTCAGCATATGCTACAGAAGGGTGAAAGCATTGGAGGGTGAACACAGGCAACAGTTACCAATTTACATGAAGTGTGCACAAAAGAAGTATTACCATGGCTTTGCATTTATATTTTCAAAAGGCTGTATTTCATGCATTTTACCTCAGTCTTTAAAACAGCTGCAGGAAGGAAACAGGTTATAAGGAAGGAAACAGGAAACATTATAATGCCCATTTTATAAATGAAAAACTAAAGCTAATCTTACTCCCGGACACAAGTATACACAGCTACAGTATGTTTGTGATAGAATTAAGGCCTGAGTTGTCTAACTGTGAATAAAGGTTAGGATCTCTGTTGTAGTTTAAATACAAAAGTGGAATTGTTATAGAAAAGTAGAATTCTTATACAAAAGGATTTGAGGGTTGAAAGGTATATTTTTCTAATAACCTATTTCTAGTTAGTTTGAAAGAGCTAAATTGGCAACAGAAAAATAATTTTCATTTTCAAAAGTAAATTTTATTGACAATTCTCTTGCCATTTGAATGTGATTCTGCAACAATTTCTAGATTTTGTCAGATAACCTTAATATGAAAATATAGCCCAGAGCTGTACTTCTATGAATTCTACATTTAACCCAAGTGTCAAATTCACAAGTAACGTTATTATAAGAACTATTGTCTACTAAGTTGAAAAATATTCATTTCACACCTTAAATACTATAATACTAGTTAATAGCAGTGCTGGCCTGCCAACTATTAAAAGCCTGGTTTTACATACTACACTACCTGAGCTTTTTATCTTGCCTTTTTAATTACAACAATAAATTAATATCCTAACATTACACAGTGACAGGCATTGATTAAAAATATTTAGTTAACATTAGTATTTATTGTGCAAAGTTGCATTAGGAGTTCATTTTCGAAATATAATTATCATTCAATAATACAGATACTTTAATCTTCAAACTATTCTAGAACAAAATAAACTACAATACTGTGCCTTCACATTAAAACATTTCTCTTAACTTTATATTATGTCCATTATTTACCATAATTAGCTAAACTACAAATGTTAATTGTAAAATATAATTCACCAACAAAATTTATACACAAATAAAGGGATTTTCCTTCCTTTGAAATATATCCTTTTTTCCTTTTGTCTTGGTTATTTTTTACTGTATTTATTCCTAATAATATTACCATCATAGATTTCATATATATTATCATATTAACATTCCTCAGTTACATGCTAAATCATGAATATTTATTTAACTATCTTTCATATTCACTTTTTTTGGTTATCATTGTTACTATTTATGACATGTTCAGATAGGGGATTCTACTTATTATTTAATATGTCAAACCCAAGCTTTATCTTATGCTTCAGGACTAAAAAAAGGATTTGGAGAATTCCAACATTTATAAGGTAGGATAGATACAGTGAAAACATAATGACAACATATGAGCTTTATTGCTGTGATAATACCCTTCCAGAACACCAAGGGAACATAAGCCTTTTGTAGTATCTGTGACACTTGAATGACTGATTATTTATACAGACCCCAACTGGTATAAAATAAAGATGTCAAGTGTTTCAATTACCATCTCATTTCTAAAATTCATAAAGAAATTATAAAAATTTTATCATTTACCACATTCTTATTAAGTACCTCCTGTACACGTCTCTACTTTAGATGATAAAAGCTTGCCTGAAATCTGAAGAAACAAATGATACAGTTCCAATTAAGGATATAGAATAGGTATATAAATAAAAATATAAACTAAGCATAAATTCCATGTTTACTACAGAAAAAGAGACATTGTTTAATATTCAAATGAGTTTCCAAGTATACAGTGGTTTTTGCATATATTTTATAGTGGCGTTACACAAGTATCAGAACTAATTAATCATAAGGACAGTGTAGACCAATTAAAGTATTTCTTCGGGAATCTGCATTGCTATCTATAATGTTAAAATGTATTATTATTGAATCTGCATTTATTTTCCTAAGAGAAAACAACTGGGTTCTTACACCACTTTGGTTCAGTATACAGATTTTCAAATATTACTGAAAATACTTTAATCTTTATCTTTCTGGATTTCCCTATTATAAAGGTACAAAAATCATAAATATTTTTACTCAAATAAAATTCAAATCATGAGGAGAATATTAACAAAGGACTAGATAAAAAACATATTTTCTTAACTAGTATATCCTTTTTGTAAAGAATTACTTATTGAGATGTAACTGCCCTATTTGCTGAAGAACTCAAGCAGGATATTAACAAACAGCACTTAATTCAACTATCAATTATATTTTAAGCTCTCTTAGGCACTTGTCAGCAGTTCTCTGTTTTAGCAAGAAATGTAAAAGGAAGCTTTAGTACTGTAACAGATATGCTGGAAAAACAAAAAACAAAAATGGATTATAATGAAGCTTAATATTAAATGTGCATTCATTCCAATTATGCTACTATAGAATAACAACAGGTATCTGCAGTAAGTTCATTTACTCAAGAATTTAGGATGTTATATTTTCTGTTACTCATTAAATCTGCAATCACATAACACAATATTCTTTACATTTGTTAGATATTTAAAACACAAATAGTGGTTCCTTATTATTCTAAGATTAGAATCCTGTATGATTATGTTTCTTATACATTATCTTGCAATATTATGTCTATGTATTCATCACCTACCTATAGGAATTAAAAGTCCCCTCAGAGTCTAGAGTAGAACTTGTTCGTCTTCCATTTTTATTTGAATCTCCTGGAAAACAAAATTTAGAACACTGAAATAATGGAGATTATGAAACTGATTATTTCTGTTGAAAAACTACTATGTGATAGCTTTATGCAATATATTAGTCAAAAAGCATATATTTATTCATCCCTCCCCCAAGTTATCTTTTGTATTCAAAGTGTTTAAGGCAAAAAATTTCATTTTGATGCCAAAATACAAACCAACAATCCACTCCTAAATTGGATAGCAATACTGCCAAAGTAATTGCTAACAGGAACAAATGAAGTGTAGTAGACATTTTCCTCTTATGAATCACAGCGAAAACTAAAGTTTATAAACCACCTAACCATACACTAATGTTTATAAACAAAGGAAATTTTTTGTTAGTGATCAAGTCACCAATCCTGATCAGCAACACAGTCAAAAGAGAGGAGTACAGAGCAGATCTGGAAGGTTTTCCAGCTCCTAGTTCACCACCTCTGGGAATTTAGACAGCAGACAGGTAAACCAGAAAGCAGCCCTGGGAGGTGGTGATCAAGAACACATTTTAATGAACTTTTAATATACCTTAATGTTCTTCGTAAAATTTTAACTGTCAAAAGTTCAGCAATTTAAAACATGAAAGAGCAACAAAACCAAAAGTTATTTGTGTCTCCTATAATGATACATTTGGAAAAAAACATTTTCACTGAAAAACTGTCACATTCATAAAATCAAATTTAGAACAAATTCATACATGTCAGCTAAAAGACTAGAAAATAAAAATAATTGTACTAAGTTGAAAAAATTGCTTACTCATGCCCCAATGTAAAATATATATTCTTATTAATAGAAATTTAACAGTTTAATTTTTTAAATATATACTACAAAATGCAGTTTTTATGAAATCATAGTATACTACTATTAATATATTATTTATCTTCAAAACAAATAAAAAGACTGGAATCTGACTACATTTTATACCCCAATTTCTATAATGTAACTTTGAAACATCAGGTTATATTCATTTTTAAAATATTTACAGCTTAATAATTCAATGATTCATCTCATTTTCATTTATACTTTTAATCCACTTTGAACAATCTAAGGTACCACTGAAAATCATCAGTGGCCCTGGTTAAGTCAAATAGTAATTACAGAGCTTTCACTTTAAAGATGAGATTATTTTTAATTATTGAGTATAGTACTTAGGTACTATACTTACATAATTATGCTACTCATTAAATGGTTACTGAAAGCTAAAGTGTAATTTTAATGACAGCTACCTATTTTTCTTTAAGCATTTTATAGTTGATAGATTAGTATAGAACACGAGTTCTCTTCAAGAAATTGGTGAGATGTGTAGCTCTGCCAAAGTGTTCAGGAAGTTGAGGACTAGCCCACTTAATAAACTTTTAACTCCACTCATTTTTTAAAATACACTTCCAGGTTTTTTTGTTTTTTGAAAGAACAAAAAATCCTAAAAATGTATTATATCACTCAAAAATGGTGATAATTTATAGAAGAAAATAATCCAAAAACACTTAAATATTTAAAATTAATCTAGCTGGGTATACGTTGTTAATTCATTGAAAACATGAATACAGTAAGATTACTCATACAACACACTTCATTTTCTTAAAAATTAATATTATAATAAACTAGAAAAATTAAAGGAAAATTAGTCTCTGTCTTGCTAAATGAAATTTTTTACAGCACATGTTATTTAACAGCTTGCAGACATTTCCTGTGAAACATTCTGTAATCAGTATAGAATAAGCACTATATTATACATTTAAAATATGAGCCTTCTTTCTTCTTAAAACTAAAGATTATGATTAAATATACAAAATTTTGCCAATAGAATATTTTTTCTTTAAGCTGATATTTATCAAATCAAATATAAAATCCTTCAAATAATTAAGAGATTTAGTTTTTTAAACAACCAGATTTTATCATAAGATACTACAAAGGTTTTCTTCAGTTTATAACTGTTTCCAAATGGAAATATTACATTAAATATAACTTTCAAAGTGCAAAACATCATAAAGAGGAAAAAAAGAAGTTTTTCTTTCTCAAAAACATATCAAAAGGAGTACAACTGTTCCACTAACAATATTAGAAAAAGATTTCAGAGTTTGCTATATGGAGAAAAGGCAATAAAGTTTTGAAGCGGGAAAAACGCTTTGTTCCCTCAATCCTCTAGTTGAAATTAATTATAGCAAATGTTTATGAAAACATCTGTTCCTTACAGTTATAAATTCTTAATTTTAGTATGGACGATTCCAGACTCTTATTTTGGAAGGAAACTGTTTGACTACTGAAAGGTTTACAAAAGAACAGACAGAATCTGTAATTTTGGAAAATTGTATATACAATGTGCTACATCCTGTAGAGATTTTCATTTGTGTGAAACATTTGGGGCTGGGGGTGGGGGGGTGCGCAGCTTAAAACTGGTAACTAGGAGAAATCAAAGACAAACAGAAAGGCTCATCTTTCAATTAAGCTGTAATATGATAAAAACATATCTGTAACACAGGAAAACACCAACGAAGAATTACAAGCAAATGTTACAATACTATTCAATCTAATTTGGAGGCAAGTATAATAAAATAAGTATTAATTTTATCAGGGATTTAAATAATGTAATGACAATACAATCACAGGAACGTATATGCGGTGTTCCTCAAAAATAACAACAGAGGGTGCAAGAGAGTTTAATATGATACTTTTAGTTGCTATTCTGATTCTTGAACTAACTTGTCAGGTAGCCATAACTGTAACAAGGATGCACAGGCTGTTTTCCGATCACACGCACACATAAATACATTGGTAGTCTTACACAAAGACCTTTAAATGATCAAACAGCACAAATACCTAAATGTGCTTTTAATATAACAGACTTTCTTTCACTTGCTTGAAAAGTAATTTAACAATAGAATAAATTTTTAGAATAGATTTTAAAGGTATTTCAATACCTAATATAAACTAACCAGTCAAATAATCTGGATATATTTACTTAGTACATTTTAAATACATGTATAAATTATACATAATATATATATATGTTACTATATATGTGTGACATTGTGCAACATGTATCTATAGAAACAGTTCATCAGTTACATGTGACCACAGAGTTTGAAATTTACATAACATTCATTTCTCACTAATCAGTAAGTAACTTTGCAAAATGATTTCATCATATTCATAATTAAAATAAGTTGTCTGATTTGAAAAAAATAGGCATTAGTTTAAATGAGGAAGAAAATGTATAGTATTTTCCAATTGTAATTTCAAATGTGTATCTAATTTATTAACCCAATAAAATATGTGTATTTGTAACTTAGATTTCAAAATAGAACGAATGGAATTCTGGACTCCCTTTCAGCTTTAACTGCAGTCATGTTTAACTAAGGGCAATTTATAGGTTCTCTCTGTGTCCTATGGAAATCATGCTAATTCTGTAGTATTTTTTATACGCAAATACCTAGTTCACGAAGGAGAATCAACGATTTTAAAATAGGTTAAGTTAAAAACAACCAGGATAACACCATAAGTAAGCATACCTACTCAAATGTGCCTTCAGTTTACATCTGAAAACATCGAGTTTTGGAGTATTATATCACATGAGGTAGGAATTCTGAAAAGTATTACATAAGATTTTTATCTCTGAATTGTTAGAGAATTGTCACCAACTGTGTCTGATGAATATTTAATTTAATAGTAAGAAGGAAAAATGACTTGGTTTAAGCTATGATGAAAAAAAAGCTATGGGTGTAGTTGTGTAGAGACCTGAAAACTTTTGTGTCTTTTAAATGAATTTGCATATACTACTGAAACATTTTAGTTAAATTTAAAATCTCTTATAAGGTAAATGATTTTTAAAAATTATGAATACAGTATATTCACATGTCACATAGTAAAGGCAAAGCATAACGACTCAGCATCATCCACAAACATAGTAGCCACTAAGGATATTACATCATTTCAGGAATCAGGTAACCATCAGCCTCCCTATGCTGATAATTTATGGTAAAAATTCAGGACCACCCATTAGATCTAAGAGTCAGTGCTAAAGTCAATAAAGAAAATTCATGAATTTTATAATTGTCCATTTTCTCTATTATTGTTAATTTATCTACATTCTAATGATTTAATAGCCATATTTAGTCCTCTAAATATTTTCAAATTATTACAGATAATGAAAACTCAGATGTAAAATAGAAATGTATAAGGACTATTTTGTAATAAAAAAAACATTTTCAAGTGGATCATTTTAACTTGAGAATGATATTTCGTCATTCCTATTAAATCTTTAATAGAATTCTTTAAAAAAAAAAAAGAAAAAGAAAAGACAGCAGTGACATCAGCAAGATGGCACAGTATGAACTCCAAGTACCTTTCCTCCCACAGAAACACTGAAAAACAAGCACTAGCTTTCAGAACTAACTTTGTCAAGACTCTGGAAAATGGTCAAAGACTTACCAAAACTAAATGGACGTGGAATCCAGCAAAAGGCAACTTAAAAGTTTTGTGGTGTTTTTACTTGCCCTTGCCCCATCCCCTCCTTGGTTCTGCAGCAGTCTTTAAGAGGGAAGCTCCATTCATCCCCAGTTTGGGAGTCTGGTACTTGGTTAAGGAGGGAGCAGAGCAGACCATATTTGCAAATTGTTGTACACATCTGTTCTAACCGGTTTAGGGGCTACCTGAAGGACTGATACAAGGCACTTGTCTCTGTTCAGCTTAAGTTTAGAAAAAGCAGCAGGTACTGCTGGAACACAAAGCAAAGCAAAGAACTCACAGATGCCTGGGGCAAAAGATTACAACTAAAACATAAAATAGACCACCTAAGGCCTGCAAGCAAAAGCTGATGAGAGTTTCTTTGGGAAATTAGGACATTCAAAAGCATCTATGTTTCTGGGAGAATGGAGAAGGCCATGCACATGGCCAGAGCAACTTGCATATTACTGAGAAGAGTCTAAGCTTCCACCTCAAGCTGATCACTATATGATGAGTGCAGGCCTGGCTAAATATTAAAGGACTAC